CGAGGCGCAAACGAGGCAAATGCACCCCTTCCGTGAAGCGACAGCTGGACTTTGACACCCCCAGCACCACGAAGAAGCCCAAAAAGGCGAAGCGGGAGCCTCCGGCCACACCATGTGAGAGTGCGAAAAATGATGATTTGTCGGAAGTCGACAGTGATGATGATGATGACGATGACCTCTTCAAGGGCAAGTTTGGTAGAGTGGCTCCACACAAAGCCACCAAAGCCAAAAAGGCCAAGGCGGAGCAGGCGGAGGAGGAGAAGGGCGAGAGTGGCGACGAGGGCGACACCCCGCTCGTCAAGGAGCACAGCAAGGAGAAGCCTGATGATGATGAGAAGCTCGACAAGGAGCCCGAGGAGCAGACCGTCCCTCCCATCGATGATTTGCTTTTGGCTTTGCTCCCTGCCAGCCAGTCTAAGCTTCTCGGTTTCATTCATTCGAAACTGACAGTTGCAGCCAGCAAGAAGCTAAGCATTGAGGTTCCTTTCGATGGGTCAGAACTAAGGTGCGATGTTGCCCACTTCGCTGCGATCCTGCAGTCCGAGGACATTTTGACCCTGGACGATGCTGTGGATGCCCTCAGCGACTTGACAGGCCCCTCGGCTAATTCTTCGTGTCGTTTGTGTCCTCGCCTGCTGAGAGGCGACTGGACACGGCAGCTCGGCGAAACCGCTCGTCTGGCTGCAGACTCCCTGACGTTGAAGGGCAAACGAGCCCTGATGCAGTGGCCTCGTGTGCTGAAGGATGTAGCAGTCTTGAGCGCTTTTGTTGTTTCGTTAGCAACATACGAAGCTTTGGATTTGGCAGGAGCATGCAGCCAGAGTCGAAGCCGGGGAGTCGCAGGAGAACGACCGGGATTCCCAATCGTATGGTTCATCAAAGATGTTCTTCAGATACCGTCTCATAGATCATGACTCCCACGGGCTTTGAGCACACGGCGATGGTTGCATGATGAGTCCTGGTTTTAAATGACTTGAATGATTGCTTGCATTTGTGTTGCAGTGTGATGATACAGTTAAAGCTCAGATCATGTCATAGACCACCCTCAGGAGTGAAGTCCAGCTCAATGGGCCGCTGCCACCAAGCAAGGTTTTGGTACGATGAGTCGCAGGACTTTCGCAGAGGGTTTTGGTTAGCATGCTCTGTCAGGAAACGTGTGCTCGCAGACATTGACAGACCCAGTCTTAATGTCATGAACCACCCCACAGGACGGAACTGCAGCTCATGGACTTGAGCACGATGTGGCGAGGTTTTGGCATGAAGAGCCCCAGGCACCGGAACACGCCAGGGTATGCTTAAAAATGACATGCCTCTGCAATGTGCCTCCTCTCTTTTTGATGTGGTGGCGAAATCGCACAGCAAGCTTGACTACTTTGGTATGTCAGGGAAGCACAAACCTCCGAGCAAACTGCAGCCATGGGCGGCTTCCAGTGTCTGACTGCTTTCCTGATTGAGTGACTCTCTAGTCTAGGTTCAGCAAACTTTGAGCCACGACGAGGTTTCTTTGTAGACCCAACACAGTGCAGAAATCCTTATCACTTATTTGCAATCTCAAATCCTTGAGATTCAGCAAGCACAGAGGAAGCACGCCTTTAGGCTCGCTTTGTTGACACAGCCTGCTGGTCCCATCCCCAGGCCAGGCCGCCATGCTGTTCAGCGACATACTGATGCTGGTACGTTCGTCCGTCCAATCATAACTGACGTGTAAAGTAGACATTCAGACATCATTGCTTGCAGCTTCTTGCCATTGTCATAGACGTTTTCCCTGGGTGCTTGGTACAGACAACAAACATTTATATAAGGAAAATTTACAGTAAGCGAGCCCGGCCCTGGCCGGAAACGTCGTTTCTGTTTGGATATGAGTTTGAGTCGAAATGAAGTATATACAGGATTCTTCAAACCGGGCTGGGGGGTGTGTTCCCAGGCATAAACAAAAGCTTTGCAAAGCCAGCTGTCAAAGCTACCGCAGAATCGACTGGCATCGTGACAGTAGGTTATGGGCTTGGGCTGCGAATGGAAGCCACCGCATTTCGAAACCGGAGGCGAACGGGAGATTTCTCAGAGTCTGCCAGAGAACTTTAATTGGTATTGGGCGAGTTCTCAGACTCTGCGAAAAAAGCAGAATCGGCGAATGGGAATTGTCTTCAGAGGCTGCCGACAGAGAACTATGTGGTCACTGGGCCAATTCTCAAACTCTGGGAAGGGAGTAGAATAGGCGAGTGGGAGTTTCCACAGAGTCTGCCGACAGAGAACATTATATGTCATTGGGCAAGTTCTGAAATCCGGCAAAAGAGCAAAATAAGCGAGTGCGAGATTTCTCAGAGTTTGCCGACAGAGGGCAATGTTGCCATTGGGCGAGTTCTCAGACTTTGTGAAGAGAGCACAAACTGTCAATGGGAGTTTTCGACAGAGGGCAATGTGGTCATTGGGGGAGTTCTCAGAATCTGGGAAGAGAGCAGAATCGGCGACTGGGAGTTTTCTCAGAGACTGCCGACAGACACTCATGTGGTCATTGGGCGAATTCTCAGACTCTGCGAAGACAGCAGAATCGGCGATTGGGAGTTTTCTCAGAGTCTGGCGACAGCGGGCAATGTTGTCATTGGGCGAGTTCTCAGACTCTGGGAAGAGAGCACAATCGGCGACTGGGAGTTTTCTCAGAGTCTGCCGACAGAGAACTATGTGGCCATTGTGCGAGTTCTCAGACTCTGGGAAGAGACCAAAATGGGTGAATGGGAGTTTTCTCAGAGTCTGCCGACAGAGGACTATGTGGTCATTGGGCGAGTTCTCAAACTCTGCGAAGAGAGTAGAATATGCGAGTGGGAGGCTGGCAGAGAACTATGTGGTCATTGGGCGAGTTCTCAGACTCTGCGAAGAGAGCAGAATCGGCGACTGGGAGATTTCTCAGAGGCTGCCGACAGACACTCATGTGGTCATTGGGCGAATTCTCAGACTCTGCGAAGAGAGTAGAATCGGCGAATGGGAGCTTTCTCAGAGTCTGCCGACAGAGAGCTATGTGGTCATGGGGCGAGTTCTCAGGCTCTGGGAAGATCGAGAGCACAATCGGCGACTGGGAGTTTGCTCAGAGTCTGCCGACAGAGAACTATATGGTCATTGGGCGAGTTCTCAAACTCTGCGAAGAAAGCAGAAAAAGGGTGACTGGGAGTTTTCCCAGAATCTGCCGACAGAGGACTATGTGGTCATTGGGCGAGTTCTCAGACTATGGGAAGAGAGCAGAATCGGCGACTGGGAGATTTCTCAGTGGCTGCCGACAGACACTCATGTGGTCATTGGGCGAATTCTCAGACTCCGCGAAGAGAGCAGAATCGGCGAATGGTAGTTTCCCCAGAGTCTGGCGACAGAGAGCTATGTGGTCATTGGGCGAGTTCTCAGACTCTGGGAAGAGAGCAGAATCGGCGACTGGGAGTTTTCTCAGAGTCTGGCGACAGAGAACTATGTGGTCATTGGGCGAGTTCTCAGACTCTGCGAAGAGAGCAGAATCGGCGACTGGGAGATTTCTCAGAGGCTGCCGACAGAGGGCAATGTTGTCATTGGGGGAGTTGTCAGACTCTGGGAAGAGAGCACAATCGGCGACTGGGAGTTTTCTCAGAGTCTGGCGACAGAGAACTGTGTGGTCATTGGGCGAGTTCTCAGACTCTGGGAAGAGAGCACAATCGGCGACTGGGAGTTTTCTCAGAGTCTGCCGAGAAAGAACTATGTGGTCATTGGGCCAATTCTCAAACTCTGGGAAGAGAGCACAATCGGCGACTGGGAGTTTGCTCAGAGTCTGCCGACAGAGAACTATATGGTCATTGGGCGAGTTCTCAAACTCTGGGAAGAGAGCAGAAAATGGGTGACTGGGAGTTTTCCCAGAATCTGCCGACAGAGGGCAATGTTGCTATTGGGGGAGTTCTCAGACTCTGTGAAGACAGCAGAATCGGCGAATGGGAGCTTTCTCAGAGTCTGCCGACAGAGGGCAATGCTGTCATTGGGGGAGTTCTCAGACTCTGGGAAGAGAGCACAATCGGCGACTGGGAGTTTTCTCAGAGTCTGCCGACAGAGAACAATGTGGTCATTGGGCGAGTTCTCAGATTCTCAGACTCTGGGAAGAGAGCACAATCGGCGACTGGGCGATTTCTCAGAGGCTGCCGGCAGACACTCATGTTGTCATTGGGCGAATTCTCAGACTCTGGGAAGAGACTAGAATAGGCGAGTGGGAGTTTTCTCAGGGTCTGCCAACACGAGGCAATGTTGTCATTAGAAGAAATCTCAGACTCTGGGAAGAGAGCACAATCGGCGACTGGGAGTTTTCTGAGAGTCTGGCGGCAGACACTCATGTGGTCATTGGGCGAATTCTCAGACTCTGCGAAGACAGCAGAATCGGCGACTGGGAGTTTTCTCAGAGTCTGCCGACAGAGAACTATGTGGTCATTGGGCGAGTTCTCAGACTCTGGGAAGAGAGCAGAATCGGCGAATCGGAGTTTTCTCAGAGTCTGGCGACAGAGAACTGTGTGGTCATTGGGCGAGTTCTCAGACTCTGGGAAGAGAGCACAATCGGCGACTGGGAGTATTCTCAGAGTCTGCCAACAGAGAACGATGTGGTCACTGGGCGAATTCTCAGACTCTGCGAAGAGAGTAGAATCGGCGAATGGGAGTTTTCTCAGAGTCTGCCGACAGAGGGCAATGCTGTCATTGGGCGAGTTCTCAGGCTCTGGGAAGAGAGCACAATCGGCGACTGGGAGTTTGCTCAGAGTCTGCCGACAGAGGACTATGTGGTCATTGGGCGAATTCTCAGACTCTGCGAAGAGAGCCGAATCGGCGAATGGAAGTTCGGAGTTGTCTCAGAGTCTGCCGACAGCGAACTATGTGGTCATTGAGCGAGTTCTTAGACTCTGTGAAGAGAGCACAATCGGTGATTGGGAGTTTTCTCAGAGTCTGCCGACAGAGGGCAATGTTGTCATTGGGGGAGTTGTCAGACTCTGTGAAGACAGCACAATCGGCGAATGGGAGTTTTCTCAGAGTTGGCGACAGAGAACTGTGTGGTCATTGGGCGAGTTCTCAGACTCTGGGAAGAGAGCAGAATCGGCGAATCGGAGTTTTCTCAGAGTCTGGCGACAGAGAACTGTGTGGTCATTGGGCGAGTTCTCAGACTCTGGGAAGAGAGCAGAATCGGCGAATCGGAGTTTTCTCAGAGTCTGGCGACAGAGAACTGTGTGGTCATTGGGCGAGTTCTCAGACTCTGGGAAGAGAGCACAATCGGCGAATGGGAGTTTTCTCAGAGTCTGCCGAGAGAGAACTATGTGGTCATTGGGCGAGTTCTCAAACTCTGGGAAGAGAGCACAATCGGCGACTGGGAGTTTGCTCAGAGTCTGCCAACAGAGGACTATGTTGTCTTTGGGCGAGTACTCTGGGAAGATAGCACAATCGGCGACTTCACCAGGAATGGCACTGGCTTGTGCCAGGAGTATACTGGCTCGAACCAGGAGTAGCACTGGCTAGTACCAGGAGTAGTACTGGCTAGTACAGGAGTAGTACTGGCTAGTGCCAGGAGTAGTACTGGCTAGTACAGGAGTAGTACTGGCTAGTACTAGCAGTAGTACTGGGCTTGTACCAGGAGTAGTACTGGCTAGTACCAACAGTAGTACTGGTTAGTACCAGGAGTAGTACTGGCTAGTACCAGGAGTAGTACTGGCTGGTACCAGGAGTAGTACTGGCTAGTACCAGGAGTAGTACTGGCTAGTACCAGGAGTAGTACTGGCTAGTACCAACAGTAGTACTGGGCTAGTACCAGGAGTAGTACTGGCTAGTACCAACAGTAGTACTGGGCTAGTACCAGGAGTAGTACTGGCTAGTACCAGGAGTAGTACTGGCTGGTACCAGGAGTAGTACTGGCTAGTACCAGGAGTAGTACTGGGCTAGTACCAGGAGTAGTACTGGCTAGTACCAGGAGTAGTACTGGCTAGTACCAGGAGTAGTACTGGTTAGTACCAACAGTAGTACTGGGCTAGTACCAACAGTAGTACTGGTTAGTACCAGGAGTAGTACTGGCTAGTACCAGGAGTAGTACTGGGCTAGTACCAGGAGTAGTACTGGCTAGTACCAGGAGTAGTACTGGGCTAGTACCGGCAATATCTTCCTTGCCCAATCGATCATTTGTAAAGAGGAAGGCTGGGGCGGCGGCCGATGTGCAATTGACCGTGCTGGATGGTTGGACCGGTGTGCGAGTGCCGCTGTGCGTGCTGGATGGGCCGGCACGTGCACGCAACGTGCCGGCAGCACACCCACTCATCCAGCACGATTACGCGCCAAACTGCCTAAACTCTGAATTATTGAGAAGCCCCAGGGAAAACGTGCGATTAACGCGTGCTGGATGGAATTCGTTCTCGTCTTTTCAACGTGCTGGATGGGCAGGTGAGCTGCGGGCACGTGCACGCACGGTGCCGGCTGTTGCCTGCTCATCCACACAGCCCGATCCATCCAGAACTGTTAAGTGCAGCCCGAACCTTCCACCCGAATCATCCAGCACTGTTACGTGCAGGTGGCATGGAGACATGGCTGAAAGCTCGCATAGATGACGCGAGGAGGCGGGCGGCCTTAACCGTGCTGGATGGCTTAACCGTGCTGGATGGATACCGGTCTATAGACTTGCCAGATACCACGCACAAAGTATAGCATTTGAAGAGCAGCTGCGGTAGACAAAGCTCTGTAGTTCCGACCCATTTTTTGTCTTGCAGGCTCGAAGACCCAGAGGAGAAGCAGCTCTTCCTCAGCCGCTTCCTGCTTAAGATCGAGATCTTGGACCGCAAGATCCGACAGGGCGAGACGGCAGAGTCTGATGCTCTAGCTTTGTTGCCTGGCCCGGACTGGGAGGCTTGGACTTTCGTTGCACCTCAATCAATAGTCCAGCAGTCATACTATTGCATGAGAGCTTCGCAACACCCATGCCTCTGGAGGCCGTGGTTGCAGCAAACCGTGCAGATGCTACGGCTGCTGGACTAGTGCTCCGGCCCGTGGTGTTCCCGCCGGCTGCACAGATGGTCCCCGACTCTCCAAACAGGGATGACGCTGAAGCTTCCAGTCCGCCTGAGACGGAGACGGAGAAAAAAGCGGTGGTGCTTTCAAGCTACACCCCGGCCACCACGCTCTTCCTGCAGACCAAAGGTAAACGTGCAGGTGTGCTTTGTGTTCACCGTGCTACTTGGATCAAAGTCTAGACATACATTTGGATGAGTGCTTGTCACTGCCTGCAATGTTCGGCAATGACATGATGTGTCGCCGCCTCTGCAGGTGGAAGGCACAAGTGTGGAAGGCTACGAGCATTTGTTCCGCATCGCGGAGGTGTGGCCTTTGCTGTCCCGCAAACAGCAGTTCACAAACTGGTTCACGAAGTTGCTCCTTGGTAGCTTAGACGATGAAATTACTCCTTGCACGAGAACGCATGCTCCCTCGACCCTCGATGATTTGTGCCGGCGACCCAAGGAAAGAGACGATGATGGCCAGGCTTTCTCGGAAGTGGTCCGTTGACTGCGACCTCCACATCCCCAGAAAGTTGGGGTACAAAGGTAAGCAGCTCTCAGCAGGTGCAGGGAAGCTGCGGCTGTCTTTCGATGGGGTCACGCTGCCGGGCCTCTACTTCATGGCTACCCAGTTGCAGTGGTCACGTGCCTTTGCATTGAATTGACTCCGATCCGATGACTGATGATAGAAGCATTAACAGAACTCAGGTTGCCTCAGCTCTCCAGGTCAAGGGCTGCAAGAAGACTTTGAAGGACGGCTGCCTATCCGGCTTCGATCTTCTGATCAGTACCTGCTGCAAGCCCGATGAGAGCTTCGAGCTGCTACCAAATGAGCCTGACTGCACCAGGGAAGCATGATCAGTCCGTCTGTTGCCAGAGTAAGTTGTATTTTGCAATTTGCTCCTGAGCGAGGCACTTTGCGATGTCTTGCTTTCGACTTGGATTTGGCGGCATGGGAGAGATGCTTGAAATTCCTCGGCATCCAATCTAGGTCGCTCGGACTCGTTTTGCCTGTTGATTTTGCAGTCTTTGCCACGCTCAGATTCCTTGCAGGTGGGAGAGGTGCTCCATGCTCTCGCATGCTCAGCAGAAACTGCAAGCAGGCCTTGCATAACCCAAAATACTTTTTCCACGAACAACAGTCCCCAGGTGTGCCACTGTCGGCTGCTTCGTGGTTCCTGATGAGATTGCCTTTCGAAGACGTTGTGTGCGAGGCCAGCGATCGGGATGGTTCTGCTTCAGCCGTGTTGTTGCTTCCAAGATTTTTCCACTCATGCCTTTATGCCTTGCTGCCAGGGCACAGTCAAGGTGTCCAGACTTCAACGAAGACTGCTTCACTTGCTCTCCCAGTCTGGCGAGAATCACTTGGGCAATAGCCTCCAGACAATGATCCCGAAGCCATCGGCGAGAGATGAGTTCCACCCGGCACGTGTGCGGCTGGTTTGAAGCTATCAATTCAGTAGTCGGTTGAAGTTGTGCTCTGATGGATGAAGACTTCGGACCAAGTGAAGTGGGATTTCATTTGCGGTCATCTAAGGGATGGCAGAAAGGTGAAACGGGAGGCCAAGGTCAAGCACGCCATGGCCATGGAACGTTTCCTTGCTCGTGCCTCCGGCTTCGTGAACAAAACCGATGCGACGCTCGATGAGCTGGACTTGGGATGGCTGGCCCCCTCGCACTCACACAGGCCGGACATAAGCTGCAACACACATGGTCAGGTTAGTGTATTTGTCTTATGGAGTGCCGAAGCTTAGGCTCGCATCCGACTTGGCTTTCAGATATCTGCGATTGGCCGGCACCAGCATAACGAAGGCTCCGGAGAGTAGTTGTTTCGGTTGCTGCCGTGAATGTATGTGCCAGTGTCTCACGCTTTTGGTCGCTCGCTCTCTCTCTCTCTCTCTCTCTGTCTCTCTGTCTCTCTCTCTCGCTCTCTCTCTCTCTCTCTCTCTGTCTCTCTGTCTCTCTCTCTCTCTCTCTCTCTCTCTCTCTCTCTGTCTCTCTCTCTCTCTCTCTCTCTCTCTCTCTCTCTGTCTCTCTCTCTCTCTCTCTGTCTCTCTCTCTCTCTCTCTCTCTCTCCCCTCTCTCCCTCTGTCTGTCCCTATCACTCTGGTTTAGTCAGGACTCTGCACAAATATCGCCGGCTACTGTTGCTTGCTGGCCCTGCTGAATCTTTGGATACAAGCTTCATTCACTCCGAAACAAATTTTCCGACTTGCTGCCGAGGGCAAAATGTGTGTCATGTTCACTCACTTCTCTCTGTCTCCTCCTGCTCCGATTTCGTCACTCGAAGTGTCGCTGATGCTGATTCACGGCCTGTGAGACGTACTTTTTTGAAATTTTCAGTCGCTGACTAATTATATCATGCTATTTCGATCGCATCATCTCTGGCTCTGTGTCTTTTTCACAAAGCAGTGAGCCCGTATCTGGTACACCTCATATTCGCTATTTGCTGGGCACCAGACCTTAAATTTGCATGCTTTCTCAGAAGCACCGGGCAGGAGCTGAACCAGCAGACGTACCGCAGCCTCAGCTTCCTGTGCGACGCTTCGCCGAAAGCCTTTAAGGAGGAGACTCGGTTGAGTTACTGACTTGTTTCATGACATGATGAGCAACCATCCAAGTTTGCTTCGAGAGTATCTGCGAAACCGAGTTGTGGTGTCCCATCGTCGCAACAAGCGACCTGGCTGTGCCGTGGGTGGTCCAGCGCCTGAGCGACCTCCTGGCCACAACCGCCGAGACGAGCTCGAAGCTCGAAGCAGCACAGGAGCTTGCAGATGGCCTGGCCGGCAAAATGGTTGATGACAGCCGTGCCCGAGCGAAGCAGCTTC